ATACTCTCCTTGAGTGATTTTATCTCCTCCTGTGGCTAAGTTAGATCCTGATGATGCCCAAATTTGTAGTTCCTAGCCAGAATCTTCCTCTTCAGGTAATATCCACATAACTAATTGTCTTTGCTCTATCTCCACTTGTTATTTAGGTACAGGTTGAAAAAGCTGAATTCATCTTCTTCCCACCAATCTTTCTGCTTCCTATAGGCCACCTTGCAGTGACTGGGACTGCTTACTGTTCACCTAGTTGCCCAACCAGAAACCTGAATGTCATCCCAACTCCTCCCTTTCTCTCCACAGTGAATAAATTAAGTCCAGGCAATTTGTTCCCCCAGAAATCTTTGAATACACCCTTTTCCTTTACCCCTCCTGCCATCACCCGTACCATCATTGTCTCTAACCTGGATTTCAATCTTAAGTCTTGTGAACCTAGTTTCCATCTCATAGCCAGAGGGTCTTCCTAAAACACAAATCTGGTTAGATCATCCTTTTGTTTAAAACCCTCCAATGGCTTCCCACTGCCCTAGGGATAAAGACTAATCTTGATGTTGCTGAGAAGACTTACATAGTATCTTTACTTCTCTAGTTTCATAGGTTCCTCTGTGCTATGCTCCTGCCATTTGGAACATAGTTTGAGCTCTCTTTGTTCTTGCAGAGGCTGCTGCTTCTTGCCTGAAATTTCTTCATTCCCTTGCTTGATTCACTCCCACTTTCTTCTCTACTTAGCCATCACTTTGGATCAGTTTTGTAGGTTTGCTAGTAGGAAGTTGAGGAAGTTCTCACTTTATGGTTTCTGTTTCCTCTGAAGTAGAAGAAACAAGGTTAACTCCTGAGAGTGAGAGAAGTAGCAGACTTGGAAATTTTCTTTTTAAATGTTTTCACTGATTTTTAGAGAGAGAGGCAGGGAGAGGGAGAGAGAAATATCAATTGGCTGTCTCCAGCATGCCCCCTACAGGGGACTGAACCTGCAAACTGGGCATGTGCCCTGACTAGGAGTGGAACCAGCAACTTTTCGATGCATGGGATGACAGCCAACCAACTGAGCCATACTGACCAGGGCATTACTTAGAAGTTTTTGAGTCTTTTAAAAAATATATATTTTTTATTGATTTCAGAGAGGAAGGGAGAAGGAGAGAGAGATAGAAACATCAGTGATGAGAGAGAGTCATTGATTGGCTGCCTCCTGCACACCCCCTACTGGGGAACGAGCCTGCAACCCAGGCATGTGCCCTCGGCCAGAATCGAACCTGGGACCTTTCAGTCCGCAGGCTGACGCTCTATCCACTGAGCCATGCCAGCTAGGGCAGAAGTTTTTGAGTCTTAATCTCAGGTCTAGGCGAAGTACCTAATTGTAGAGTTCATAAAACACCTGAATTCCTTTATTTCTCATGTCATATTATGGAATAACATCTTAATTACTAAGTCTCTCTCCCTTAGATCACTAGATGGTCCTCAGCCCCTTGCACTGTTCTGGAATAGAATAAGCACTCAGTACTATTTTGCCAAATGAAAGAATGAGTATACAGCAAGCAATCATTTGATATTAATTTTGTTTCATGTATACTCTCTTATAGGGCAGAAAATGCATGCATCAGTCAACTTGAGCATTCTAGGTTACTTAGTTTTATTTTTTTCACTTGCACAGAGCCTCCCTGCTGTGAAGAAGGCATAAAAGGCATTGCATTTGGTATAATAAAACTATCACATAGCGCTGGCTGGTTTGGCTCAGTGGATAAAGCGTTGGCAAAAACAAGAAAACTATCAAATAGTTTTTGACAGGTTATATCTATAGTTTCTTCATTTCCTAAGAAACAATCATTAGCACTGTTGCTGAAGAAACTACCCTAAGTCCAGCCATACCAAATTTCTTGTTCTCTAAGCGTTTATTTTTGTACTTGCTTTACCAGGAACTCCCTTCTCCTCTTGGCTAAAGGCCTGCTAGTCTTGCAAGACTCAAGCCCAGAGCCAACTCCTTTTGGAAGCTTTTCCTGAACTGCACAGGTTGAGTCTGGGGCTCTTTCCATATGTTCCTGCAGTACTCTGTGCACTCCTACTATTTAGCAGTTACTGTTGCATTAAAATAGGGAAGCTTTCAGTGAGTATTTTATTTACCTCTCCTTTCCCAAAGCCTGGGGAGAGTGCCTGACACAGAAAGAGATGCCAAGACTCCTGAATTTCGTTCCTAGTTGGGAAACCTTGGATGACTTCAGCCATAAGTGTCAGGTAACTAACTTCGTTATATTCATTAATTCTAATCTTCACAAACATTCTTTTTTTTTTTCAAAATTCTTAAAAACTAGAAATGGTGGCGCTGGGATAGAATCTCAGTATAATTGTAAAGCCTGTGCTTTAAAAAAAAATCCTCACCTTAGGATATGTTTTTATTGATTTTTTTATGGAGAGACGAATGAATTGAGAAAGAGAGGGAAAAACATGGATGAGAGAGAGAAACACCGATCAGTTGCCTCTGGCATGTGCCCTGACCAGGGATTGAACCCACAACCTAGCTCTGTGCCCTGACTGGAATCAAACCTGCAACTAACTGAGCCACCCAGCTAAGGCTGTGCTTTTTATACCTCATCACTGAGGCAAATCACTGAGACTCTGTAAGACTGGTTTTCTGAATGGGAATCGAAAATACCACAAGAAGCAGAAGTTCTAAATTTTACTAACAACCATTATAGAGATGTTATGTTGACTATGTACTTAAATAACTGAAAACATGAACTCTCTTCTTTACAGATCAGTTTGATAGTCCTCTAAATTTTTTTAAAATCCTCACCTGAGGCTATTTTTCCATTGATTTTTGAAGTGGAAGAGAGGGAAAGACAGCGAAATAGAGCAGACCCAGATGGGGAGGAGCCTGCAACCGAGGTACACGCCCTTGACTGGAATCAACCGGGGACCCTTCTGTCCGCAGGCCAACGCTCTATCCACTGAGCCAAACTGGCTAGAGCGATAGTCCTCTAATATTCATGACTGCCAGAATCTAGGCTACTCTTTTTTTTTAAATATGGTTTTTTTACAGAGAGGAAGGGAGAGAGATAGAGAGCTAGAAACATCGATGAGAGAGAAACATCGATCAGCTGCCTCCTGCACATCCCCCACTGGGGATGCCCCTGCAACCCAGGTACATGCCCTTGACCGGAATCTAACCTGGGACCCCTCAGTCCGCAGGCCTACGCTCTATCCACTGAGCCAAACCGGTTTCGGCTAGGCTACTCTTTATCAAAGTTTCATGTTACAGTAACTACTATTCGGCTTAAGGATTACTATTTCTGTTCTAAACTCAGAAGTTTCTCCAAATGACTAAGAAAATAGTGTATTTCCAAAATAAAGTATATGGGGAGGGAGGTTCTTCATCTTGATGCAAAAGACAAAATATAGTGCCCTCTTAAGGATCGTTCTCTCTCTCTCTTTTTTAATCCTCACCCATGGATATTTTTTCCATTGATTTCTAGAGAGAGTGGAAAGGACGGAGGAGGGGGGAAGACAGAGAAAGAGAGAAACAATGACAAGAGAGAGACACATCGATTGGTTGCCTCCCGCATGTGCCCTTGACGGGGAATCGAACTCGAAACCCTTCTGTCCCAGGGCTGAGCAGCTGTCCAGGGTTAAGGCTCTCTTCTTAATGATTCATTGTGATTGAGGGGAGGGGAAGGAGGCAAAGGAAAAAAAGGAAATTTCATTAAAAGATTTCAAGGAGAACTGGAAAACACAGGGTGGAAATTTCGCTTGTCTACTACTAAAATAGGACACTAGAAAAAAAAAACTTGGATCACAGTAAGAAATATACAAGTGACGCTATATCATCCATCTGACACACCCGTCCAATCCATTCTCCACACTTTCCCATTAAATAGCATATTTCAACATAGACCTTTGCTGACTCTGCTAAGAATCTTAAAAACGATTACGTTTCTGCAGCAGAATTCACTAAAAAGTGGTAAATACCAATATTATGTAAAAGTCCAGTAATATGAAGGAAGAAGTCCCCGGGCTGGAGGTAATGAGTAAGAGGGGCCGTGCTGTCGGCAGTAAATCTCGCCTCCTCTTCTAAGTCCTTGCTCAGCCACGAACAAGGAGGGAACGGCTATGGAGAGAGCTGGAGGTCACAGGCCTCGGGCACGAGCTCCTGCAGCTCTATCACCTCTCAGGCTGGCTCCCTAGGACCCAATCCCCCGGACCCCGTGCCCATGGGCAATGCTGAGGGTGCACCCGCCCACTAAAAACGGACTTGGGAGCAGGAACTTGGCACTTCTTTTCTCTCACCTGTTTCACATTTGTTTAGTCCCTGGCACGTGCTTGGGGCAAACTAGTAGCCTAGATATCTTCTTGTTTACTGCCAATACGAACACTGTAACTCTGCTGAGAAGTTTAACAAAGTCTCAGCAAGCAAGGGGCAGCCAGGGGCGATGGAAAAGCAAATGGCCACAGCTGGGGAAAACAGCACAGGGCTGCTTTGGGGGGAAAACCTGGTGTACGCTTCCAGAAGCAGATTCAAAGTTCACCCACTGACCCTCGCCCCTCTGTGCCTCCTCCTCCCTACCCCCTGCAGCTCGGATTAGAGACAGTGAGTTGGGGTGGGGGAAGGATACCATCTGGACGTTCCTGGCAGGTGAAAAGGCTCTAAAAAAGGTGACCAAGAGGGGAGTTTCGGGGCAGCGAGGTAGCAGGTACAGAGGTGAAGGGGAAAGAATGTGAGAGGACCAAGGAGAGGTGAGTGCAAGCGAGCGTGGCCGCAGAAAGGGGGCAGGGCTGGAGGAGGAGAGGGGCCAGAGCGACAGGAGGGGAGGCTCAAGAGTAAAAGGGTGGGAGGGGCAGGATCCCACGATGGTCCGGGGCTGGATCCCACGAGGACGGACCTGGAGCGCGGGGGGTGGGACAGGGCCGGACAGGTCTTGTGGGAACAGCAGGGTCGGCCAGGATGGGGTTGACTCAGAGAGTGGACGGAAACGACCCAGTTCCTAGCTGCACGACCCCTCGGCGCCACCCTCACTCGCCTGCAGGATCCGAGCCCGCACAGCCGCCGCCGCCACTACCGCCGCCATGGTTCCCGGTGCCTCTACTCCCCGTGACTCCCCAGCAGAACTGCAGCTGCCAGACTTGGCCCTTCATCCTGCCGCGCCTCTTCATTGGTAGAGAGGACCATTTCCCTGGCCAATCACTCGCCCTAACTCCTGACTCCACCCTCATGCCCAGTTTTGGGGACAGGCGATTGGTCAGAAGTGAAAGCACTCTCTCCCCTCTCCCACCTCAGGAAATTCTGTTGGCGGAGGTAGGGAGGACGCCCCTCACTTGGGTGCTCTCCATTCAGCACGCAGGGAAGACGCCCCTTCACCGGGAGCCCCGATTGGCCACAGAGACGACTGCGGCCCCGCCCCCTCACTGAGGAAAGTAAATAAAGCCTTCCTAGAATTGGCAGGCGCCCCGCCTCCTCCAGTGCGTGAGGGGGTGTGGCCAGCACTGGGGGCGGGGCTAGGCAAAGATCGCCCTAGAAGGTGCAAACGAGGTGGGGCCTGGGAGTGGGGATACGGTTTCCCTTTGGGGGCGTGGCTTGTGGGTCCTCGCTTTCCCGCCGACGGTTGGTCGCGTCACGTGACATGGGTTGGAAGATGGCGTCTCCCACAGAGGGTAAGAGCCGGCTTAGAGATCCTTTGCCTGCCCCCCTGGCAACTTCCGCTCTCCGTCTGCCGGTCTAATTTGGGCTCCTCTCTTTCCCCCTCCCACTTCTCTTCCTCGGGATGCGGGTGCGTCTTCAGCTCGCCGATTCTTCACAGATGCTCCGGAGGAGCTCAGTTTCCCCGCTGTGCACCAGCCGGGTGGAGGCGGGCACCGGCGGGAGACCCATCCGGGCCCAGCCGCTCCCTTAGCCCCAGATTCACGGAGGGCGGCGGCGGAGATTACAGCCGAGGGAAAGGAGGCGCCTTCTTGTAGCTTTCTTCTAGGGCGCCCCATTCGAGGGTTGGCTCTCTCCTCTTTGATCGCCTGGCACTCTTCTCTCCCACCGTAGCTGGGATTGCTGGCCGACCTCATCCTCTTTCTGCCCAGATTGGTACGGTTGTCCTGGCAGCTCGAGAAGCGGGGGACCTTCCCGGCCCCTCGCCGAGTGAGTCCCCAGGAGAATGAGAGTGGAGCTTTTTAGGGTAGTTCTGTACACGACCCAGTCTCTCTTGCTTCTGCCGTATGTTTCCCCGGGCCGAGGGAACGATTTCTGCCTGTATATTGTCCAAGGGGCAGGTCATCTCAGCAGCTAAGTTCTGTGGGTGTGCCCTTGTGCCTTTGCGCTCGATCCGATCCTGCTTTGGGGAGTTAGGGTCTTGCAGTCATTTCTACACTCACTTTTTGCGTCTACTGCCCCCACCCCCACGTCCGTTTCACTGATATGTAGTTTACCCTCCTCACACCAACACAGTTTTGTGTTTGGAAGGAATCTTGGCAGTTCATTTCAGGAATGAGGAAATTGAGGCCAAGAAAGCTGTACAGGTTACATGGAAGGCATAACGCTAGGCGCTTTGGGAGAGGAAAAAGATTAATCATTCACGTACATTCCCGCGGTTTCAGGTCTTATTTTAGCTGTCACCTCCCAGAGAAGCTTTCCCAGGACATCGCATCTGGATATACCCCTGTTCACCGCTGTTCACGATCTCTGCCACCGTAGTTATTCTGTTAACTTTGCCGCTTTCACACAGGGTCATAAATTCTAGATCTGTCTCGTTCATAGTTGAAAGAATGTTACTTTGGCTTAAGTTTCAAGTTAAACCGAGTCTTAAGTTTTTTTTTTTGAGTGCAGGTAAACTGTAAAAGAAATTATGGGTGTTCAGCGCGGCCACAGTGGCTCTGTGGTGGAGCGTCCACCTAGGAACAAGGAGGTCACGGTTCGATTCCTGGTCAGGGCGCATGCTGGGGTTGTGGGCTGGTTCCCCAGTGTGGGACATGCAGGAGGCGGCCAATCAATGATTCTCTCTCATCATTGATATTTCTATCTCTCTCCCTCTCTGAAATCAATAAAAAATATATTAAAAAGAAAAAGAAATTATGGGTTCAAAGTCAACAGAGATTCCTTCCCTTGACTGGGTGCCCTGGGTGCCCTCTGGGTAAAATGTCCTTCCCATGCCAGGAAAGAGAAAGGAGTGGGAGTGACATTTAAATAGTCAGCCAAGGGAATGGGGAGTTGTTTAATGGGCACTGAGTTTCAGTTTGGGAAGGTGAAGAAGTTCTGGAGATGGATTGTGGTAATGGTTGCACAACATTGTGAATGTACTGAATGCCACTGAACTGTGCACTTACAAATGGTTAAAATGGCAAATTTCATTATGTATATTTTACCACAGTTTTTTAAAAAGCCAAGTGATAGAAGTAATTTCTGTTAAAGATTTTAGTTTATTATGAGGTTATTTTTATTTTTTATTTTTTTAATATATATTTTATTGGTTTTTTACAGAGAGGAAGGGAGAGGGATAGAGAGTTAGAAACATCGATGAGAGAGAAACATCGATCAGCTGCCTCCTGCACACTCCCCACTGGGGATGTGCCCGCAACCAAGGTACATGCCCCTGACCAGAATCGAACCTGGGACCCTTGAGTCCTCAGGCCGATGCTCTATCCACTGAGCCAAACCGGTTAGGGCTATGCGGTTATTTTTAGATTTCTAAGTTTTGGAGGTTTTAGAGCTGTGTTCCTTGTATTTATTTTTTCCCTGTCTTCTCTCATTTCTTTTTCCTTTCTTTAACCAGGAAGAATATTGGAAACATTATATATTTCTTCCTTTGATCTTCTAGCAATCTCCATTGCTACTCTTTATGTGTAAAAATTTTCAGTTTCATCTTTTACAAAGTTTCACTTCTCCACCTAAACTTTTTTTTTTAATCTGACAAAATCAAGGGGAGCACTTTGGTCTTAAATTCAGTTTCTAAATAAGTATATCTTCCTAAAATATTCCATTGCCTAGCTCTCTCACTTCTATTTGTAATGTTCTACCTGTCCTTGACTTTAAAATTTAATTCAAATAATGTTGATATGGAAAAGATTAGGGCATTTACTCATTTGTCTTCTTTTTTTTTTAATTGAGTGATTTTAGAGAGAGGGAGGAAGGGATGGAAGAGAGAAAGAGAGAGAGAGAGAGAGAGAGAGAGAGAGAGAGCGAGAGAGAGAGACATTGATTTGTTGTTTCTTATTTATGCATTCATTTGTTGAATCTTATATGTTCCCTGGCTGGGGATCAAAACCTTGGCATATCTGGACAATGCTCTAACTAACTGAGATACCTGGCCAGGACCTCATTTGTCTTTTTAATGCTAAATTTGCTGGGACTTTTTTGGAAAGGAGAAAGCTGAAATCAAGTAAAGCCATCTAATTACTTAATGTATGAGAGTAAGCCTCACAGCAGATTCTGAGTTATGCCCCCAACTGTGGTTCTCATAAGGCTACCCCTGTTGGTTATTAGCTCCTACTCCCAATAAGCTTATTTTTGTTATTGGTAACATTCTTTGGAATTTGAAAACTGACACTTTGTGTTACACAGTTTTCCTTTCTTACCAATTTGGATGCTTTAATTAAGGCAATTATTAGGGTCAAGTTCTTGACCAATTAGAATGCTATTGGAAATTCTCTTAGAACATTTGGGGGACAAATTCAATTTAGAGAAAAGTTCATGTTGAAAACATTTATATACATGTACATTTTCTGGGGGAGTGGGTCCATAAATCCATAGCTTTTTTTCTTGCAGACTTCAAAAGATGTGGCTTATTCAGAAAATGTTAAAAACTGTTTGTGTCATTAAATTACCGAATTATGCAGCTAGTTAGCATACTGAGCATATAATATGTACTCAACACATGTTAACTATTGTTAATATCCAGTATCTACTGTGTGCCCAGGCAAGAGAGGAAATGGCATCAAAGAATTAGGCTGGATCATGTAGGATTTTATAGGGCATGGTAGGTACAAATTCACGAATTTAGCTGGGAAGAAGTCCTTTAAGCTGAAGAGTGACATGAACTAATTGGCATTTTTAAAAAAATCAGTTCTGACTGCTTTGTGGACAATAGATTTGTGGTAGTGCTATTTCTTGAGACATAGAGGACTGGGAGAGTATGGTTTTGAACATATTAGAATTAAGGGATTTTTCACATGTGTAAATAGAGAGAGATATCAAGTATTAGTTAGATACATAACTCTGAAGTTCAGGGAAAGACTGGGCCTGGAAATATAAATACGGAGTCATTGGCACAGTAAAGGCTGTGGGACTAGATGTGATCTTCTCATGAGACTTTAGGTGTAGAGAGTGAAGCCAGTTTAGGATGGGGCCTCAGTGAAAGAGGAGACTGAGGAAAAGGGGTCAGGGAGGAAGGAGAAAAACCAGTATAGTGGTTTTACAGAAGCTGGAGATGGAGTGTTTCAAGGAGAGTGGTCAGTGTGAAAGCTGCAAAGAGGTCACATAGGAGAAAACCGAGAAGTGACCACTGGGTTTAGCAACATAGGTCATAGATAACCTTGACGACAACAGTTTCCATGCATATAGGAGCAGAAGCCTGATTGTCATGGGTTAAGGAGAGAATGTGAGGTGAGGACGTAGAGGCAGCAAGATAGACAGACAACTCAAGCGCTTTTGAGAGAAGGAGTGAGGCGATAATGGAGTCAAGGAAGAGCTTTTTCAAAGAAGGGAAATTCTAGAGCAGGCTTGCTTGCTGTTGAGTATGAAGCAGTAGAGATGGTAGAAACTGACTGTGCAAGAAAGATGTTATTACTCATGATATCTTTGACAGAGAAGAGAAGATGGAATTCAGAACCCTAGCAGAGGAGTTTGTCTTGAGAGCAGGGACATTGGTTGTAACTGGAGGAAAGTCTGAGAGTATGAGTGAAGATGCAGGTGGGTTTGCTGATACTCATTTTTTTCTGACACCCCACTAAAACATTAGATATCGGAAAAGTGAGGTTTGATAAGGGAAAATGATTCATTTTTACAACATTTATTTGCAGTTATAGAACTCCGCTATCTAGACTTCCAGGTAAATGTTCCAGTATGTTATGTTCTTTGACACTGAAATGTTTTAAAATGTAAATGAACATGTTTTGTGTCTTCTTGGCTCATCTGGGTATTTCGTTCCAGGGACGGATCTGGAAGCATCTTTA